GACTGGCCTAAGTGTACAATCCAGCTGCCACATGGGAAGAAGTAAAGAGATCAAGGAGAACTGAAAGGATGCTACTTGATTTTTTCAGGAGCTTAGGAAGAAAAAGCAGCCACTGGTGGTACTGTCCATAAGACCCTTCTCCTAACCTTTGTAAACTATTAATTTGAAGGAGATACGAATATAACTTCATTGCAGTTGGAGTACAGAAGGGCAATACAGGAATATAACATAGGGTAAACTTTAATTCACACAATCAGTGAGTAGTTTGTTTGCCACAGATTGTAGTAAAACTAAAAGAGAATCTCCAAGGTAGGTCTAAGTTAAAAGTCGTTATCTTAATGTTTTCTTTCCTAGTCATAGTTTTATTTCTTTTTATTTTTTTAATTTTATTTTTTTAATTTTTTTACTAGTCATAGTTTTAATGTAGGAATCTTGTGTGTCTTAAACTCTTAGGGGATGGCTCCCGTTGAAATGTTGCCAATTTTAGGCACTTTTTATCTCAAACTCCTGGCCTCAACAATCCTCTTGTCTTGACCTTCCAAAGCACTGGAATTACAGTTAGGGTGTGAGTCACTGTGACCAGCCAGCACTTTTAAAAGAATGATAAACAGAAAGGAGAAATTTCTTTACCTGCAGATTACAGAATGACGTAGTTTTAGTCATTCTTTCAATATTTTGGAAGTGATCTTTTACATTATATACTTGTGTACTGATGGAAAATGAGCATGTATTACTTGTACAAAAATAGCTTCGGGACGGGAGTGGTGGCTCACACCTATAATCCCAGCACTTTGGGAGACTAAGGCAGGCGGATCACTTGAGCCCAGGAATTTGAGACAAGCCTGGGTAACATGGTGAAACTCTGTTTCTACAGAAAATAAAAAATTAGCCAGGTGTGGTGGTGTATGCCTGTAGTCCCAGCTACTTGGGAGGCTGAGGTGGGAGGACTGCTTGAGCCCGGCAGGTCAAGACTGCAGTAAGCTCTGATTGTGCCATTGCACTCTAGCTTGGGTGACAAAGCAAGACCCTGTCCCCCCCCCCAAAAAGCTTCAAGTGCTTTAGTGTAAATAAAAATACAATACACGTAACCACATCCTCATATTGTTTTACTGTAAGGTAACAAGTCCATAATACTGCAAAATCAATTCTCTTAATGTATAGTCACACTTCGTAGAGTGTTGGTCTCACGTTGTGGCAATGAAGTTATACATAAATCAGGTGCTTTTCCACCTCTGTTGTATTGACCTCCCTCTCTCTAGCTTACCCAAGATTCTTTGGCAAGTACTAAAATGACTGTCCTATTCTTAGGTCATTTCTCTGTGAGTACAAACTGAGGAACACTGTCATTTATGTTGCCCAATTGGAAGTAGAAATTACATGCCAATCTCCTATGCATTAAATCTTTATATGGATAACCCTTTTGCAGGCATGTAATTATAGTTAAAGCAATGGTTTCCTAAGTACACCTGAGTACTTAAAAGTGAGGTGGCTGGCCAACTCTTCAATGGATTAAGTTAAATATAATAAACTTGAACAAACGAAATGATTAATAGAATTCCTTTCAGCATGACAAGTAGACTTCAGACTTTCTACATTATTAGACTTAAGTACTATATCAATTTTAAGTTTTAGAGGGATGTTTAACATTTCGCTGCCTGCTACTGTGTAATACAAACCAAAATGCAGGTTTTAATCTGGGTTTAACATTTAAAATTCCCATCAGACATAACTATCTGCTTCACTGGCTTCAATAATATGCGTAATTTAACTCAAACAAAGGAGAAATAGTATTTCCTAGTCTGCTATCTCAACTCACAATTTTTAGAAGTGCTTAATCCACGGAGTGGAAATTTTTATGGCCTTAGGGGATGCCAGGCCTGAAACTTAAGGAGGAAATCTTAAAAGTTCATGTTAGTACTGCTGTAAATCTTACTTTATAATAACTTCATACAGTCATGCGCTGCAGTCATGTGTTTCAGTCAAAGGAGGACCGCATATATGATGGTTGTCACGTAAGATTACACTGTTTTTTAAACTGTACCTTTTCTATGTTTAGATACACAAATACCATTGTTAAAATTACCTATAGTAGGCCAGGCGTGGTGGCTCATGCCTCTAATCCCAGCACTTTGGGAGGCCAAGGTGGGTGGCTCACCTGAGGTCAGGAGTTCGAGACCCCTGGCCAACATGGTGAAGTCCCATCTCTACTAAAAATACAAAAATTAGCCGGGCGGGGTGTGTGCCTATAATCCCAGCTACCCAGGAGGCTGAGGCAGGAGAATCGCTGGAACCTGGAAGGCAGAGGTTGCAGTGAGCTGAGATGGCGCCACTGCACTCCAGCTTGGGTGACACAGCAAGACTCCGTCTCAAAAAAAAAAAAAATATTACCTACAGTATTCAGTACAGCAACATGCTGTACAGGTTTGTAGCCTGGGAGCAATAGGCCTAGGTGTGCTGCAGGATATACCATTTAGGTTTGTGTAAAGTAGTCTATGATATCTGCACCGTAACAAAATAGCCCAATGTATCTCTTAGAATGCACGGAAAAGGACACATGAGGTCATATTCTATTCTTTCCTGAGTATTTTGTAAATCATTTACTATCTCATGAAAGCAGCTAAGCTGCAACTCTAGTCCTATTTTTCAGGTGGGGCAAGTGCCACAAAGAGATACATTAATTTGCTCCCAGCTCCACTGCAAATCAAGTGGGTAGATCAACACCCAAGCCTATCCCTTGTATAGCAAAGCCATCTGTAGGTACTGACTGTTTAGGACAGTAATAATGAGTAGTATATGTTGCAATTGAACTCTTGAGGGTTTTCTTCCCTTACAGCTGGGCCCTTTCGTAAGATTCACTTCCCATTAATTACGATAATCTAACTCGGAACTCACACACTGCAGGCTGAAGATGACTGAGGTGTTTTGCCTGATGTCTGTCTATACCGAACTAATGACCTGGAAATTAAAGGCTTTGAAATGTATTCCCAACCCCCTGACTCATGGCCTTTCAGTAATGCAGCTAATCTGAGGTCTTAAAATTAACCGCCTCACAGTGAACTGGAAAGGGCAGCACTGTGATTAATGCCATGTTGCTGATCTGGTTTGCCAGGAAAGGTGAGTAGAAAAACACGGAATATTGGTGGGGCGCGGTGGCTCGCGCCTGCAATCCCAGCACTTTGGGAGGCCGAGGCGGGCGGATCACCTGAGGTCGGAAGTTCGAGAACAGGCTGACCAATATGGAGAAACCCTGTCTCTACTGAAAATACAAAATTAGCCGGGCGTGGTGGCGCATGCCTGTAATCCCAACTACTCGGGAGGCTGAGGCAGGAGAGTAGCTTGAACCACAGAGGCGGAGGTCGTGGTGAGCCGAGATCACACCATTGCACTCCAGCCCGGGCAACAAGGGTGAAACTCCGCCTCAAAAAAAAAAAAAAAAAAAAAAAAAAGAAAAGAAAAAGAAAAAAAGAAAAACACAGAATATTACCTTCTTTATCTAGCAGGGTATATAGAATCTGTTGGTTTTAGGAACCAATAACCTTTCCCTGGCCCTAAATTACCTAACCGGCACCTTGGGTCTAATCTAATCCAAATGGTTACTTTTTCAATATTGCTTCCTTTTCCAGAAGCTTTATTCAGTGACTTTTAGGTTGAAGACTAACTGAAGCAAACTAGAGTTGAAAATCAAGGAACTAAATAATAATTCCACTGTACATATAGACCCTATTTGGTTTCTCCGTTTATGGTTCCCTATAGGTTGTGTTCACCTTTTTTGGCTCTATAATAATGAGTGAATAATGCTGCTATAAACACGCGCGCACGAATAGCTGTTCACATCCCTGCTTTTCATTCTTTGGGAAGTGGAGAGGCGGACTGGGAGAGTCAGACACATGCTGCCACACCATGAACCTGGAAGGCACGATGCCAAGTGAAATAAGCCAGTCACATAAGAGAAAGGTTGCAGAGTTCCACTCAGAGAAAATACTTAAGAGCAGTGAAATTGATAAGAGTAGGACAGGGGTTGCCACGGGCCCCAGTGGGAGGGGGATTGGGGAGTTACCGTTTAATAGGCACAGAGTTTCACTTTTGCAAGATGAAAAACGGTGGGAAATGGGACGTGGCAATGGACGCAAAACAATGTCAATGTTCTTAATGCCACTGAACTCACTTACAAATGGTGAAAATGGTACATTTTGTTACGTATGTTTTACCACAGATTAAAACGACCCCAACGCTAAGCCTTGTAGCCCTCCAGAAACTCTGGGAGAGAGGATAAGCCTTTTGCACAGCGCTTTCCAGAGAATGTGTACAAGAGGCAGGCTCAGGCGGAGAAGGTGGGCCAGGCGGGCGAGATGTCCCGAAAAGGCAGAGCCACTTCGTTACAAGGTCCACTCTCCTCAGGGATTTCCCGCTAGGAGTGAGCATTCTTTTGTCACAGGAAAGCCTTGAGATTCTCCTTTCCTTTCACAAAGCCCTCCCAGTCAAAGACGTCCCTAACGTTGGGAGTTCCTTGCCTCCCCACTTCTTTCTCTCCTGAGCCATATGCCGCATCCCTCAGAACCCCGTTCCTTAAGACTCCACGGTCTTCCATGTTGGGTCCCGGCCACCGCCACACTAACCGTCAGCTGCTCGGACCCCACCCGCCGAACGCCAGAACGTGTGGGCGGGTTAGGGGGGCGTCCTCAAGCGCCCCGGAAGTCACCACCCCCCGTCGCCGGCGGAGGCGCCCGGGCGGGGCGCGCGGCTTTGATTGGCGGCAAGGTGGGACGATGCGTTACGTGCGACGATGCGTCCCCCTCCCCGCCGCTCCTGCGCGCGGTTAGCTTGGGGAGGGGCGGAGCATGCGGCCCTGGGCGGCCATTACCCGGAACAGTCTCCGGGCTCGGGTCCCGTGACCCTCGGCGGAGCTGGCGGGAGGGGGCGGGGGTGGGAAGAGGGCGTGAGGAGGGAAGGGGAGGGAGGAGAGAGAAGGGCGGAGTAGGAGGGAGGGAAGGGGGCGGGGTGGAAGCGCGTCACGTGATCCGGCATGGAGGCGGTGGCGGCGACCGGGAGGAGCCGCCGGGGCAGAAGCCGCACTTGTTAGTGTGGGGGGAGGTGGGGGCGGGGGACGCCGACACCGTCACCGTCACCCAGGGACGCCGAGGAGAAGGCGGGAGGGGGGTGGGGGCGAGATCAGGCTCCGACCCCCTGCCGAGGGGATGAGGGGAGCATGGGTGCCAAGGAGTCACGGATCGGATTCCTCAGCTACGAGGAGGCGCTGAGGAGAGGTGAGGGGGGAGGGGTCTGGGCGAGCTGCCTGGGAGGCCCGCGACGGGCAGCCCGGAGGGTGGGTGACTGGGAGGGAGAAGGGAGGTTGAGGGCGTGGGGCGCCTGAGGCGGAAGGGAAAGGCGGCCGGCCTTGGGGAGTGTGGTGGGGGAGAGAGGTCTGGTGGGAAGCAGCGTTTGGGAATTAGGGCCGTTTGGAAAGGGGCGAAGCTTGCCCTGAGAGAGGGGGATCGGGATCGGCGTTGGCAGGGCAGTGCTCGTGCTCCCTGGTGGCGTTGTGATCCTGGATGTGTCCAGGGAAGTCCTCCTCTCCCCGTTTTCTTGGGCGGCTCCAGCCCTTCCAGCCCCCCTCATCCTTCACTGCCATTTTCTCCTATCATTCCTTCATAAAAACCTCCAATAACATCCTAACCTCGTTCCTAACAGGCTTAGCTGGAAGGGGGCGAGGAGGCGGCTGAAAAGCGCTCCTCCCTGCTACTGGAAGCCCCTTCGTATCTGGGGAGTCCCTGCCTTTTTCGAGGGCCTATGCCTGCCTCTTGGGGGCTGTGGCCATCCACTTCTGCCCCGTTCACCGTTTGAGCGGCTGACTTTGATAAGAACGATCTGAAATGAAGTTGTGTTTGAGGTGAGACTGGACAGCTGGCGTTGCCACCAGACCTTGTCTTAGGTTTCATCTCCTCCGACGTTGACCAGCGCCTTTGACTGCACTTGATTCCCAGTTCTCGCTCCATCCCTCTCCGTGAAATGGCATTGGGAAGTCCAGCATTCGGATATTGTGTTAAAGCTCCCTTTAGAGACTGGCCTGGCTGCCAGTCCCGGCCTGCTGCTTATTGGCTCTGAGGCACAGTATATTGTTGGCAGCCCCAACCCCCTACCACTCACTCTGATACCGCTGTCCGTGTTCACTAAAGCACACACTAACTGAAGTGTTTGTTGCACAGTTTATGGCTGGAATGTCTTAATTTTTCATGACTGGGATTTCAGTGTGTGTAGATCTGTGCATGCTTGTATTTCTTTTAGACATTTAATGGATATTCTTGGTAAGAAGTGAAAAAACATTAAGAAGATTAGGAGCTAGGCATTATTGTTAACAGGTTTCCAAGTCAAGAAATCAGCCATGCTCCAGGTGGTTTTAGTAGCTAAGGATATAAAATGGAAATTAGATTAAAAGACATGTATTCAAAATGAGGCTTGAGAAGGGAACTCTTTTTCGTATATAGGAAGAAGAGGGATAAGTTCAGTTGACCATCACCTGACCGCAGGATACAGAATTGAGATGTATTGGTGGTGGTGGATTTACCAGAATAACACAAATATGCCTTTTATGTCTTTCTTTTTTTTTCCCCCTGTGGAACAGTATAATGATTGTTTTTATGGAGAATCTCACTTGAACTTTTTTCTCTGCCCCAATATGAGAAATATTCCAAATTCTTGATGTGTTTCCAGCTCTAGTAGGCCAGTCATTTCCGGGATGCTGTTGAGCCTGACAGGTCTGGCGTCAATTAGGCAATGGCTTACATGGTATGAAAGAGGACATTAGTCAAACTGATTTACAGCTTCAAGGTTCAGAAGTGTTTCTTAAGTTTGAGGGTGTGAATACTAGTGATGTACCTGGCATTGAGAAATTCTAAAATTAAACTTGTATTCAGCTCTAGCCTGCTTAATCTCCTTTCAAACTAGGATTGTACGTTTGTAAATACAAATGAAGTTAATTGCGTTTTAAACTGATCTAACTGGAAGGTTTTTGTTCAATTTCTTATACAGTGTCTGTTGAATTTTAAAACACATGTATTTGAAGAGATAGCAAAATATTTGTTAAGAGCTTATTTGTAACTATTGGAATGAATTTATGTTTTACCAGTTTGCTTTAGAGGAAAATTAAAGCAAAAGAGAGCAGCAAGTTGATAAAATTGTATTTCTAAATGTAAACCAGAAGCCCCCTTCTTTAAGCATGGTACTGTTTAGTAAATGTCAGACTTTAATATAGAATTTAAGATTACAGAAAGAGTTTATGAAGCTTTTTTTTTTTTTTTTTTTTTTGAGACGGAGTCTCAGTCTGTCTCCTGGGCTGGAGTGCAGTGGCGTGATCTCAGCTCTCTGCAGCCTCCGCCTCTGGGTTCAAGCCATTCTCCTGCCTCAGCCTCCCCAGTAGCTGGGACTACAGGCACATGCCACCACGCCTGGCTGATTTTTTGTATTTTTAATGGAGACGAGGTTTCATCATGTTAGCCAGGATGGTCTTGAACTCTCAACCACAGGTGATCCACCAGCCTCGGCCTCCCAAATTGCTGGGATTATAGGCGTGAGCCACTGTGCCTGGTCCCAGAAGCTTTTGATAGAGCTAAAAATGGCTTGGAACCTCTTTTGGGCACTTGAATAATATAAATAGTTGCTAAAACCTGCATTCATTGGTTTCATCTACTTGTTTATATTGTGTAAAATGAATGGGGGTACGGGTAGATAGGATTTGACAAACACACATTAGTCCAGTGTGTGCAAAACAGGCTTGACAAAACTACTGAAATACTTGTCTCCTTGGCTTTACTTAAAATTATTGAACGCTAAATAATGCCTAGATGGGATTAGGTAGTATTTAAAAAATAGGCATATATTACCACATACAAACATGGAATTGCAGGCAGTTTATCTTGCAAAGTGGGGCCTTGGAAACAAAGTGTTATGTTAATAACAGATAACACTGGGCCTGAGTGGAAGGGCAGTCTAGTGACTTCAGTTACATTTTAGAAGCACCTAGAAATTAGGAAGATTGGTTTTTGCACGCTATTTTAGCTAGACTGTTTGTCAGTTATCTAAACCTTAACATTTTCTGAAAGTGTACATTTAAACACTGGTAGGGAGATGTATTAGTGGTAACTTTTATCTTTTGTCTTGAATATATCTTTCTTCAATATCTTGAGTAAAACACCAGGAAAGCCTTAACTCTTGTTTATATTACGTGTGTTTTCTAAGGAAGTATGCTTGTACTTCGTGGATACTGGAAATTTGAGCAGCATGTTCTTCATCTCTTTATTTCACCTCCTTGTTGCATCTAAGTTTGTGTCTTGTGTATTCTTAAAAGTGTATTTTAAATTTAAGTGTGGAACACAGCGTTCAAAAAACACTCAGTGAAAGATGAGTTGCATTTTAGATCCTTTTAGAACTCTAAGACATCTTAAAAATCTTTACAAGTTTTTTAATTCTTCTGTCTTATCTGCTCCTCTGTCCTTACTTTCGTCTTTCTGGAAGCAGGATTATAAGGTGATGTGTGTGTGTGTGTGTGTGTGTGTGTGTGTGTGTATAAGAATCAGCTGAATTAAAATGATTCTTAACTTTTAAATTGTAGTAATAAAATACAGTGGGTGAATTTCTTCTAATTCCTTTCTTTAAAATCTGGCATTTATATTGCGCTTAGTAGCTGAGTGAACTATAGTGTGTCAAAAAGTTATGTTATGGATTCATATTTTAAAATGTCCTTTTGCTCATTAATTCAGCAGATTTTTTTTTTTATACTTTAAATTCTAGGGTACTAATTCAGCAGATTTTTACTAAAGGCTGGGTGTGAATTAGGCACTAAGGAAATGGATAACCAAGACCCCTCTCTCTAGGATCATATAGCTTGGTTCAGTGATCTCCACTAAGTGTATATAGACAATCCCTGACTTACAATTTAACTTTACGATGGTGCAAAAGCTATATGTGTTCAGTAGAAATCATATTTCAGTACAGTATTAATATTTAGTATTAATAACCGTAATAGTATTAATAACCATATTTCAGTACGCTAATAAATTACATGAGATTTTTCAACACATTACTGTGTTATTTTGTCCAACACTATACTAATATAAGTATTCTAAGCATGTTTAAGGTAGGCTAAGTTATGATATTCAGTAGATTTGGTGTATTAAATACATTTTTGACTTAATGGTATTTTCAACTTATGATGGCTTTATTGGGAGGTAATCTCACTGTAAGCTGTTGTATCAAAGAATGTAAGCCTATTCATAGAGGATGGGAATAAAATACTAGAAATTCTGTTTATAGTTCTAACTTGTATATGTTTAATAATGCACATAATATGTTCAAAAGTAGTATATATGCATATCATTTATAAATGATCAGCTTATGGTATAATAAGTGCTGCAGTGCTATAGGAGAAAGTGCTATGGAAATATAGAGTGTGTATGGTTTCTCTGATGGCCTGGAAGGGCCACTAGCACTATGCTCATTTTATAGTGTATGCTCACTCAATATAGTCACTTACAGGTAGTTGTGTTTACTAGTGGAATAATTAAGCATGTAACAGTTGACAATTTAGTACTTTTCATTTTGCGTATCCACCAAATCTAAGATGCTTTAAAACAATGACTCCCAACTAAGATTTTGTTCTCCAATTTCTCAGTATTAATCTTAAAATTTCATTACATTTATGCTACCTATGATGTGATGTTAGCTGGTTTAGCATAATGTATTATTCTATACATGGAAATTGAATTTCACAGTCAGTACCTTCTGGGCTGCAGTACTTATCTCGCTTATTAAAGCACCTATTTTACCTTCCTATGAATTTTTAAAATTCACCAGTGAACTTTCTAGCATTAGTTTGGAATTGTTGGTTTCAGTTAAGCCTTTTAAAAGTATACCTAGCCAGATCTGACTATTTGTAAAGGAGAAAAATGGGACAGTTTTTAATTAGTCTGCTTATATAGTCACCTGAGTGGTTACAAAGGTGCTGTTTTCACAGATCTCATGGTTTCACTTATTTCACTGTTTTCACCTCACTAATCTTCAGTTCGTAAGTTTGGTGTGTCACTGACAAAGAGGAGATAAATATATTGATGAACTCTGGATTTTGGGGGATGAGCAAAATGAGGTGACATCACTTGCTGGTTAGTGAGCTCCACATTTACCAAACTGGACAGCTCTTGTTTGTTTTTTCTTGTTCATTGTCTCTCTTTGTGCTTAGTGAGACTTTACAGTGACAGCACTCAGAGTTGCCTTC